ATAGTGTGGAGCAGTTCAACTCTATAATCGCAAAATACATTGGGGTAAGCGAATAAATTATTGCAAGAAGAGGTCATACCATGGAAGATGTGCTGCAGCTGTAGTGAGCCATAATACCCAGCGGCCTGTATATGTGGTCTAAATACATTTGCGTTCTAAGCTTAGTCCAACCTCGCTTATCGCTAAGATGGAACAAAGACTCCAATGCAAGAATCTTGAAAAGTAACTCAGACCAAAAAAAGCTGATATAAAAATAACTAACAATTCGGATAGCAATTCCAAAGAAAATGAATAGTTTTATGGCGAATTCAATCAAAAAGCTGACATTAACTACATTGATTTGGAGGTTGCTAAGCGAAAATGTTTAAGGAAACTTAAAAAAAGTGACGACGAGATTTTGCAGATCGAACAAGTCACCAAATCACAGGGCTGTACTTTGTTGCGCCTTCATCGGAGGATAAGGTTGACAGCGTCTCGATTTGATGAAGTTTGTAGAAGAAGGCAGACAACAAGCTGTAAAGTTCTAGTAAACTTCATCATATACCCAACAGAGTTTTCTAGTAACGCAATAAAAAAGTCATTGGACACGGCAGTTCAATCTTGCAGCATCGCCTCCATGTACCTACTACAGTAGACAAGAAATGTACTTAATCCAGGTATAAGCCTACCTGTGTATTGCTTTGCAAAAACTACCTAACTGTTTCCTCTTATTTTGACGGCATAACATATTTTTATGACTCTCATTTAATTGTTACCATGTACCACATGACCCTTGTAAACATAATTGTGTTTACTGACATGAATAAACGAATTGTAATTTGAGTTCTTGAATTTATTTTAGGAAGGATATCAAACTGGCAGGACGAAACAGTAGACGAATTTCGCCCAAAAACCGATTTGCACTTCACAGCTTACGTTTCATTTTTTATTATTTCCAAATGAAACTCTTGCAGCATGCTAAAAACAAAGTCCACAGGGTGCTAAAGATCCACTTTTTCTTTTTTATCCACTAGGATCTTTTTCAAATATCAAGAAGTTGAGCACAAATAGTAAGCATTTCAACCCACCATAATTCTTGCACAAAGACAAAATTTTGTAAAACGCTCTGATAGCACCTTAGGCAATTATGTCCTGCTTATATCCAGAAAAACATCACAAACTGCAGAACACAAATTGAACGTAACGGCGAAATGGATACATTTCACGGGTCATGAAATTCAAATGAAAATGCAGGTATAAAATCTGCCAAATTATCAAAAACATATTTCCTTGACTTATCGATAATTTTAAAGTTCCACGCTAAGCTCCCCTATACTTAACTGGAGTGATATCCGAATTCATTCTTCCCTACTGTCGGCAGTTGCAGATAGATCTGTTGGCTCTTGGTGTCAAACCTATAGAGCAAGTACCGATTTTTTCAAACCGTGAGCACATTATTCGTCGGATTTTCGTTACGTAAATTTCCTGTAATCACTGGGATCAGAAGATTCTTAATAATAGAACGTGTTTCACTGATTTCAACCCACCCTTTTTAAGCATTACAATTTTGTTATGTCTATGATTAGGAACCCCTGAAACGTCAAAAACGAAGTTTCAGCAATTGTTACTTTTTCTTTTTTGCCTATAGCACCGTTGCCACTGGACTGAAACTACTCGTAACCCGGTGTGACAATTTCATAAAAATCCGAGCGGTAATTTCCAAGTTGATGATGAGTGATACAGCTTTTCGTAATGTAGATGTCATATGACTTTTTTAAAAAAAACATAACATCTCATTTTAAAAATTATTAGCGATTACATTACTTCCTCGCCAATGGCGTGGGAGGTAAGACGGCCTTAAAATCGAGGAGTATCAGCGATCGCGATTATGGGTACCTATTTGCAGAACGACTTATCTGCGCGAAATTATATGAAATAGGCCCACCAAATTATCTGAATACGTCCTTTCTTAATCCGTACATTCCGCCGCAACGCTTGGGTCGGCAGCACGACACAGTAAACAAAATTAGTCCAAAATACGATTTGTAAAGGTTTGCTCGCTTCGAAATTGACGCTTTATTTTTTGATATTTTGGAATGGAATTTCCAGTGCTGAAAACAAAACCCCACAGGGTGCTATAGAGCCACTTTTTCATTTTTTCACTGGGTTATTTTTAAAAAAGTCTCGAAGTTGAACAGAAAAAGTGCGCACTTCAACCCATCATAAAACTTGTGCAAAAACAAAATTTCAAAAAGTGCTCCTATAGCACCCTGGGCAATTATCTTCTCAACATACTGTACGAATTTCATTCAAAAATATTGAAAAATGGAGTGTCAGTTTTGAAGCAGCTGAACCCTTGTAAATGGCTTGAAACTCACTGCGTCAGAGCCGCCTTAACTTGATCTTATAAGGGTGCAGGCCAGGATGTCTTCGCGAAATTCGCCATAGTGTGGTCTGAGCGATGCCCAATTCTTAAGAACGCCGTGGAATCGACGTGTTCCGTTCGTTTGCGACGGAAGCTTGAAAGGCAGCAATATTCTCGGCACTTCGACCAACCCATTGTCTCACTGGCACGGGAATATCCAGCAGCGAATATGTGGACTACATTTTTTTACTAGACTGCTTGCCTACTGGGACGAGAATTACGACCAGAAATTGGCGTTAACGCTCTTTAAGTTGCAGTCACCGACTCAGAATTTCGGTAATTATTTGTAAGCCTTGTTCGTTCGTATACTTCACCATGATGAAAACGTTTTCTTTACTGAATGTTTTGACATTGACAGTTCGGTAATTGATTGAAATGTGCGTTCATAGAGGAAGTTCAAAGTTGTCAAGTTCCTATTGGAAAACCCGATATTTCCTCAATATTTAGTTTTGAGGTGAAGATCCTTACTCCATTGAGCACAGCTACTATTTGGATAAGCTTTCTAGGCAGGTTCTATACTACGCCTCTGTCATCAAGATGGCGCCGTTTGTCTAGAATGCCGCCAGATCTGGTAACATTTCTTGCCGTTAAAAAAAAGCGAGATATCTCAACTAATAGAGCAATAAGTCTAATGCATATGTGTAATTACTTGATATACGGTTATGGTTCATCGTATGGCGCATGCAAGCTGGGAATTATTGGTCAAGAAGGTTATTAGTGCAATGGATAATTAAATCATGTGCGTAATTATGATTAGAATTTTAATTCGCCGACATTGCCAGTTAGTCTAATCATATTAGATGAAAATACCCCCGGTTTGCGAAATAATTGTAAAGTATGTCTTTATAGCTGCAAGTTGTTCAATGGGATATTCAAACCATGGACGCATAAAATGGTTACACCAATTTTTGTGGGAAAACTTTTTGTTCGACAACAAAGAATGTGAAAACGTGTTTTTTGAGATTCAATCGAAAGTGTTGTCAAGAACGAAAAAACTCTTCATGTAAAATTTTTAGGTATTTATGAGGCCTACAAAATGAGACCACACGTAAAAAGATCCGACTAATAACAAAGAAGTTATGGCCGAAAACAGAGGCACACTGCAGGTTTTTTTTTGTTTTTATACTCCAACTACCATGAAGGCCTAAGGCGTAAGCACCCATTGGGTACCGTGGGGCTATAGGGGGATACATGGGAAAGGGGGGGACGCCACACGGACCCTGGCGAGGGAACACGTGTGCATGCAATATGCACACATTCTGGCTCCGCCTACGAGATCCGCCGGGTGGTACCTCCACGTTCGACAGTCAGAGACCATCTACCACCTACGGACAATCACAACATCCATAGCCAAGAGAAAAATTTCGCCTGCGACGGGAATCGAACCCGCACAGCGCACGGCGACTGATCAGGAGACCGAAGAGTCTACTACTGCGGCCACCGCTGCGGCCTAGAGGTTTTGGCACTTGTTGGTAATGCGACGATAGTTTCTCGCAGATATTTGAAATTCTTCAAATTCATAGGATTCGTACTTCTAAATAACCACAACAAAATTGGAGTAGATTGGTCAAGTAGTTTTTGGGAATTTCTGATTGTTTATCCAAAAATACTTGTTTTCCGGCCATCACTACTAGTTTATTGAGCAATATACAGGATTACAAGGTAATTTTATAGCAAAATACACTAGTTTACCTTGCTGATATGAATCGCAAACCATTCCGGAAGATAAATGTTATTTTTTTGCAAATAAAGGATGGGTTACATTTTTTCTTCTAAACAAATTCAAACATTTCGAATATGTGAATAATTCACAACAAAAGAAGATAGCCACATCCGCTTTGTTTTAAAATGTGTATAGTAACGTATGTGTTTCGAATATCGTATCGCATTTGTTCAATTACTCACAAATACGAAATGTTTGAATTTGTTTAGAGGATAAAATAAAATTTATCTTTCGGAATGGTATGTGATTCATATCGGCAAGGTAAAAACGTTTATTTTGCTATTAAATGCTCTTTGAACGAACCCTGTATATTGCTTAACTATCGACGTTCGCTAGGGGATTCTAAAAATAAACGGTAAACATGCAAACAGCTATAACTAAGGATCTGAGTTACACAAGTTATTGAAGAATAATCGCGCAAATACAGCTTTTTATTCCATTCTTCCAAATGCATTTCAGATCATATCCTGTCTTTAGTTTGTGAGCCCAGCTGAAATTTCTTCTGTACAGTAGTGTGATACCAACCTCCAACGTTCAGTGTACAATAAACTTTGACTTAGACCAGTGGCGTACCATATTTTTCTTTAGCTCAAATCCATTCTGTATCTCAAAATTTAATACGTATATGAAGTTTTTTAGTTAAATGCGGCTTTAGAAGACTAGTAGCTATTAAAAGAAAACGATCCTGTATATTGAAGTACCATTCTCTCAATAAGGGGCATTATATGTCAAACTATTGGCGAAAATCGTCAGATTTTTCGCTTACCTTCGCACAAGGGCAAATGACAGGCAACCACCTCTTTTAACTATTTTCAATATGGACCTTAAAGATCCTTGAACGTAATGCACGATGTTAACACGATTTTTTTTATTTTGCAGATGAGCGTGATGCGGTGCAGAAGAAAACGTTCACGAAATGGGTCAACAAACACCTAAAAAAGGTAAGATCCTCATTTTCGATTATTCATTCATAATAAATAATCGACGACGACGTGACGATGCCAACAAAGAGATACAAACTTACTTGGAACGTGGACTCCTGGTGTACCCATATACGTCTGCAATTTGTATGCGTACATAACAACGCCTTCTTACAGGTTGACTCACTATTGGAAGGAAGTGGTTAAAAATAGAACAAGTTTGAAAACAGCACAATGACAATAATACAGTGCTAGTGAGTAAGTCGCAGTAAAGAGTCTTGAAGTCTATTGACAATTGCATCATGTAATGACCTGCTGTATTCGGCGGGAGCGAAGTGCATAGTGGGGGCGGTATACCCTGTGAACAAAAAGGGAAACATCATTACACTAATAGTGAAACGTCATGGTGAAATTTGTGCCGTAAATTGACCAAATGTTTGTCGTTTTTATTAATATCCGTTTTTTTTGATGTCCGCTAGGTGGCGCGAATATCGCGCAATTCTATTTACCGATTTACAGTACTTCAAGGACTATATACAAATTTGATCCATCAATCAATCTTCATTGACACGTTTGGTCTTCTGCAGAATCTACCCGTAGCTTCTTCAGGTCGATCTTTCATACCAGTTTAGATAATATTCTCCTACTAGAAGATCGGTAACGTTCACGCTAAATCTAAACAACTGCTCTGCGAGTTCAGGATTTTTAAATTAAAAAAAGATCCATTACTTATGTATTTGGAATTTTGTGCTGTGGCGATGGAAGCTTACTCTTAAACGAATATAATGCAAATAACACTTTGCTTCAATTATTTTGTCTTACCTGGATTTGTGAACGCAAAAAATTCCGAAAAAGAGATAATGTTTTTTGGAACCATCCCCAAAAACGATGTCGCTGATTTTCGTCAGTGTGTCTGTCTGTTTGTCTGTGGGTTGATCGGTCTGTCCGTTAATACTTGGCCCGTCTGTGACTTGGAAAGTACTGTTTGGATTTCAATTTTAGTTTGTGGAAATAGGTCCAGTGGCAGCTTTGTTACAGGCGAAAAAGGAAAAAATAAAAATCACTCAAACTTGGAAGAAACAACTTGATACAAAGACATTGTGGAAACATATCAAAACACTTTTTGGTTTCCATTTTTTAATATGGCTACCCAAGTGGCAACGATACGCGTTAACAGTGTGAACATTCGGAAAGAGCATGTCAGAATATATGAAATCCGTAAATTTTGAGTCTTTCGTAAATGGTTCCAGGTGAAACTACCAAACCATTGGAGCAACGAACAATTTTCCATATGTTCTTATTCGCCTCGTACACCAGAATTGTCCATTCCACAAAAAAAGAAATTACAGGAATTTTTTTCTAATTTCATGTGTCCTCGAGCTATTTTATACCATGGACGGAATGAAATTTGAATCAAAAACGGTTTTTGGACGCTATTTTCTAGCGGAACATATATGAGGTAGCAGAGTGAAAAGAGCATATCGAAATTCGTAAGAATATATCAAATCTCCCTAGTAAAATTAAATAACTCAACTGTTACTGATAATTTCGATTTAAAAGATGATACAGGAATCTTGACGTTGACAATATATTTATACCAACAGCTTAAGAGTCCACCAGAACCTTACTTTAAGTATATAGAGTGTTACCTACAGTAGCTTAGTGCCGGCAGTATTAAAAGGGAGCTTAATAGGTTAGTTTTATAGCTAATACATACACAAGTAATTGCTGCCTTCAATAAATTAAATCTACCTTCTTATGAATTAAGGACGTATATTTTATGGCTAATAATAGTTAGGGTAGGTTTAAGATCAAGGCTTTCTGGCGTTAATAATTACGGTTATATGTTTCAATTGAAAATGATTGATCAGGTGGGACACCGCCAATATGTCATGTATGCCACCATACTGTTGCATATTTGAAGGATGTAGATTGATAATAAGAATAATGGACGTCTTTAATTATTTACAATAACAATGTTATCCAGCTAATGGCGAAATTTAGCGTTTCCTACTCGTACATTTAACCATAAAAGTCACTAGCGGATGTTAATAATAATGAAATCTGACTCACAATTTTTAATGATTAATAATTACAATACAGTCAAAATTGGCATACTTTTCAAAGCAAGGTACGCCAAAAAGTAGAAAAGCAGAAATGGTTAGGAAAGTAAGAAAAAAGCATGATTATGTAATCAAGCCATTGAAGTAATGATGATTTTACTTTTTTTCTAAAAGCTGGTAATGAGTATTGTTTATACAATTTTGGTAGACTTATATATAGTGAAAACATTGTAGGAGAAACTGCGTTGAGAGAGGGATGTTGCATACTGACGTATCCTGATAATTTTATCTCTAAGTGGTCTAGAATGAACATTCTTGAATGAAATTTGTTTTCGCACGACTTAAGTAATCATTCATGGATGAAAACTGAGTAATATTATTTAACCTTGTTTAAGCAAATGAATAAAAAATAACAGACCTTTCAGTTTGACAGCATTTTTGATACATCAGGCAGTGTCATTTTTTAAATTTTTAAATGGACGTATCTGTAACCACGACCATCCGTAGGCATCGCTGTTGCGTGCACATTAGCAACTCATCAGTGCCGTATAGGTCTGGTAGTCCTGAAGACAGATGAACCGAAAACAAATAAGTGGGTATGTACGTTTAAAAAACCCAACCGGAGGTAGGCGAAAATCTGACCAGGTCCACTTACCAATGGTTTGCCAAGTTGATCATTATCATCCCGTACTATGAAAGAGCTAACGCCTCCTAACTGCTCGGCTCTGCGCAATGTGGCACCACCATAAAGGTAGACTCATATAACATAGTAGCCAAGTATTACCGGGTAGAGCAACAATGGTTTTATATGCATATTTATATTCGACCAACCGCAGACAGCGTTGTTTCGTGCTCATTATCAACTCATCAGTGCGGTATAGGTCTAGTAGACCTGGATACAGGAAAATCCATTGTTGTGAATACTTGGTATTTCTGTTGCTGGGTCTACCGTTTTGGCACAAACTGACATTTTGTTTACCTATGACAGTTTCGTATAAAAAGCAGTAGTCTGTAATGACGTAGCTTTTGGACATAATTGATGTCGAGTACAAAACTCGACATATATGTAACGTTATAAGAACTGAAAACCACGATGGACGTTGGTTTTAGCTACACGTATGTTTAGTCAAACTTTTATTGAATTTCATTTCTAATAAATCTAATAGGCTTCATCTAACTTCATTTCAAACAAAAGATATTTACAAATGCTAGATCAGTTTCAGTACAATACTTGCTGGAGCAATGAAAAAAAAACGATGTCAACAAGGAAACTTTTGAATATAGTCACAGCAGTAGACGTTCTGTTATTGAACTGTGTATACCGTGCGAATTATTTACGGATGAGGTCGGCTGGGTTTCACTGTTAGGAGAAAGAAGCATTCAGGAAGAGCAACAAGGAGTGCACCCACAAGTACTCACCACTGAGCACTCTTTCTAACTTACCTACATGTAGCACGTTTCTTTCGCTTTTCTCTCGCACACACTGAAACTCGGCCGGCATCAAACGTATATGATTTGTACGGTATACGGGTATGAGAAGCGAAGATACTCAGATTATTTTAACAAAACTATTGATAATAAACAATATGTCAGACGATTTAATTGCGAAAGCTTGTTAAATCGCTGTATCAATTGACCTCATAAAAGAGTGCTGCTTGCTATATAATGCAAAATCAGAGGTTCTTTTACGATAACAAGACACTGTCATATTTGGAAGCACACTACAAAAATAAAAAAATGTGTCATACACTTTAATTGGGTGATAGTCCCTCAAAAAATTACTTTGTGCGAAATCACTTGTATGTTTAGTCCATTTTTAGAAACTGTCCGGCAATTTAATCTTGTGATGATTCGATAGGTCTCCCTGTCATTTGACCTAATAAAAACCACTTTGTGCTGAACCACATGTGTCTTTTTATATTAAGAAGACTATTTGCTGGTATAAAACGCTGATCCCTTCCATAGTGCATAACAAAAATATCTCGAATTTTCATATCTGGCATAAGTACAAACAATAGTTCCTGCTAAAAGTCATGTCTTGGCCGCTCGCACATACTGTTCTAGTGTCAACGACATAAAATGTAAATATAGATATTCAAATAGTCTGCCCCAAAGCGTTGTATATTTAGATGCCGCATATTTGAACTACTGTTGCAGGTAATTATCAAAATAACATCCCGCGACTACTCCGTTGTTGTCTATTACGAGTATTATTATTTTAGACGTATTCTGTTTTTCATTTGGTTATGTGTCATCAAAAATTACTTTACTTATTTAATTTTATTCATTATTTACAGTATGGGTTAATACCAATCTTGTGTAATCTCTAATCAAAAATAAGATTTATCTGTTATATAATATATCTATTCTACCACCTAATAACCCATTAACAATATGAAATGTATATAAACTGAAAATTTGTTATACAATAACGACAAAATAAGGTAAATCAATGTAAAGGCATAAAGAAAACATAAGGTCAGTTAACACTTATGGGTTACTGATCAAGCAGATTTTCTTTCTCTTTTTCTTGAATTTACTTGACGAATTAGTTTCTACTACGGTCTAAAGAATTATATAATTTGTTAGCATTGAATAGTGATGTGCTGTGGCGAGGCGGATGAATTTTGTTACTAAATATGACCATGTTTTTGAATAAAGAATGATATGAGTCAGGAGCTAGTATTGATACATTTTATCAATTTTCATCCATTTGAGGTGATAAGTGGCCTTCGATAATTAGATGATCATATTTTTTGGGATTATTTACAAGTATGTATTCCTAATACTTTGAATGCGATTTTTTGTTATCTAAATAGGGATAGTAAACCATTAAGCAATGTTATATATTTGAAAAAAAAAGATTCACACAATTGTTATTCACTCAAATTTATTTAAGTTTAGCCTTATTTACAAATAAAACTCTGAGAATAGCGTAGCACTGAGAAATTAGATAGT